TCATTGGTCTCTGTCTTCTTAGAGGAAGACCAGGAAATGATGGTTACACGGATCGTGTTCAAATCAACAGGCACGCAATGACTTTAAAGAATAATGATCACGCCACCAAACGCAGATTAAAACTAAAGGAACCAGCCTGTTTGGAAAATGTAAAAAATAGAAAGTAGAGGTGTTTGTGTTCAAAATGTAAGAAGTAAAAGTGTAAGAAGTAAAAGTAAAAAAGTCGTCAGAAAAATAAGTAGTGGAGTAAAGTACTGATACCAGAAAAGTATTTGTACTCCTCTACTTCCCACCTCTGATAATGACAGAAGGTCTTTAGTCACCTTTTGCAGTTTAGTTTAGTCATGTGTTCTAGCCAAACTTAGCGATTGCTTCACAAATCGTGACCTGGAAACTAGCGTCCAGCCCCCCCCCCACCCCCCTACACCCCAATGTTAGGTGGAGAGAGACAAGGGAGGACGAGCTTCTGAACACCTTTAACTCTGTATGCATTGTTATTCAGTGCACACTTTATTCTCTTGTGTCTGGTGGAGGAGCCTTGGGGGAGATAACCAGAAACGTCTGTATGTGACTGGGCCTCTGATGAGCCCAAGCTGCATCCACAAGTGGGGTGTATGCTATTCGTTTACTGGGGTCCGGGGAAAGGAAGAAAATAAAAAGGTATGCAGGAATGCCACTAGACAAAGGTATATGATTAAGGTAGTTTGTCGAAAGCTTTGAAGGTGAACAGTGGAACATATTGATAAAGAGACTTCCTTATTTTAAACAAACCAATTGAGGAACATAACCCTTTGCATCTGTTGCTATTCCCTCTTTTTCCTCACTCTATTCTCAACTTCAAATCTGGACATAGTGTTTGTTTAGCATGATTTATGCCTTCTTCCGACAACAGTTTATCACCCCAATTATGTTCCAACAATGGCCGTCGTTGACTGTCAGCTTGGGTTGGTAGTGCAACGGGCAGGCTTCTTCCAGTGTAGTGTGTCATAGTACATGACACAAAGACACACAGTCTAGTATGTTTGACTTGAATACATGTGTGCCTTAAACAACGGGTTCACATAAGACTACACCGCTCTTCAACATGTAGTCACGACCAAGCATAAGAAGATGAATAAGAAAGATCAGGTCATATTTTGTATTAGTTTTGTCTTTAAAATACTCGGCTTCTGCTGGTCTATATTCGTGTTCCTGGAAGACGTACCCTAGCAGCTCCTTCCACATGACATTGTGGGAAAGACGCCAAGCTTTG